CCCCCGCCGCGGGCTCCCCGCCCCCGCCCCCGCCGCGCTGCGCCCTCGCCCTGCCTGGCTGCGATGTGGGCTAATGAAATATTTTATTGTTATTCTTCAGGCACCGCATCAGCCTGCTCAACCCTTTAAATTTACCATTTCCGAGTCCTGCGATCGGATTAAGGAAGAGTTTCAGTTTTTGCAGGCTCAATACCACAGGTAACGATGTTGACTTTAGCTGATCTTTGTGTTTGCTGAGCTCTTGTCGCCTGCCCCCCACAAACACACAAACACCCACGTCTTTTTTTTTTTTTTTGCCATCACAAAGGTATTATTATTATTATTATTATTTCCCTGTGGGCTGAAAGGGCAAGTCAAGGCCTCTTTCCTTTAGGCAGGTGTAAAGAAATTAAGCGTTCCTTTTTTCTCCCGTAAATAAAAACCGAGGCAGAACAATCGAAACTGGGGAGACTTGGAAAACGCTGAGGCCAAACTTTCGATATTGATTTATTGGGGCCGGGAGAAGAGAGGTCGGGAAGATTCAGGGGCCTCTCGACTTCTTGGTTCTTTATTACTCTGGGCTTGATTTCTTACTTCTCTCTGCCATTCCACTGAATAGCTGAGAGCCCTGGGAAGTATCGGAGTGAACGATTTTATTACTTTTATGCTGGAAAAAAAATGTTTTCATCTTAGAGGCGATTATTAGACTTAGAGTGCCTTTGAAACATTTTTCTTGTGCTGGCTTTGTAATGATGCATAATTCTTATTTCATAAATGCAAGATGCGAAACAAGCCGCTGAACCCGAATCAACACTTTGCCCCTGGGTGGTGGTATTCAACTTGTCTGTGTGTTTTGGAGGGAAAAAAAAGCAAGACATCATTCGTAAGACGGCTTGATTCGTAGTTTCATTAGTCTTTTCGTGGAACATTAAAGAAAAAAAAAAAACCCCTCTGACATTTTGGGGGACTTGTGCTTGCATTGGTAGTCATTATTTGATGTTTATTTCCTTGTTCTTTTATTAGGTGAATTTAGTGAATATTCAATTCTGGATGCAGTTCCAGAATTAAATTTATTAAAGGGTTTGTTTCTTTAAAGACTTACTTTTAAAAAAAAAGCCAAAAGCCAAAAATACCGATGTTTGGTCCTTATGCAAGGGACAAGTCCAGGCTGGTTCTAGTCATCCTTCCCTCTCTCGTGCCTCTCATTAATGAGGTGGTGGTTGAGACTGATTTGGTGCTGGTAGGTGATGCTTTGGAGGAGGAAGTGCGTTTGGATTTGGAGGGTGTAAGCTCAATTCTGCACTGTACTCAGATTATGCTGTGTCTTGGACAGTCTGAAGCTGGAATGTGAGAAACTCGCCAGTGAGAAGACGGAGATGCAGCGGCACTATGTCATGGTAAGAGAACCTTATCACAAGGTCTGAGTGCCTGTTAGCTTGAGACCCCAAGCGCAAGCATGCATTCAGATTGCTAGAGGCTGAAGGCAGGTCAGATCCCAGGCCCTGCCGGAGCGGTCTGGTTTGTGGGAACGTGTTCATTAGCAACCTGTAATTCTAGGGTGTTACAACTTGCCTTGGACAACCAGCTTTCATTTGAATTTTCAGAAAGTTCCACTGCATGGGGTATAATTTTCTGTGCTTTGTTTTTGCAGACTGGAAAAAAAAATAAAAACACAACTTAGTTTATGTTTTGTTTAGTCACAAGCAAAATGTTTTTGTTAGTGGTTTTCTTTGTTGTTTTATTACTCTTGCACCAAACAATGTGAACCAGTTTTTCTGTACACTCTCAAATGTTTAATGTCTTAATTTCTTTTAAAGAATGATGAATAAAAAGAGACACCAAATCCCTTTTCAGATTTTTTCTCATTCTTTATGTTACTACTATGCTTTTATTTTTGTATGTATGTTTTCAATTTCTACAGTGTTACATTGGTTTGAGTGTTGATTTTGTTCTGCTAGAATTTCTGTAAATGGCAGTTGTACTTCAAGTACAAAAAAATCAGATCTGCTTTAGAAGTGTCATGCAGCATACTTTTATGATTGCTCAGAAAGACTCTGGAGTATCTGGTTCATTTTCTATCAAATGTTTTTGCTTTGAATGTGTGAATGTGAACAGTGTAGTAAAAATGAGAAACTAAACTCGTAACCTAGCATCACCTTTTCCAACCTTTCTTTCAAAGCATTGAATTTCGAGATAAATTTCCCCTGTGCCTAGGAATTAGAGAATATAGTACTGAATTTTCATATTTTTTGATTCATTGGTTTATGATATGTCAAGACAACTAGAGATGTTAAGAACGTCTATTTGAACATAATTTTCTGTGTTTTTTGAGTTATTCTCAGAGTCTGTCTTCAGGAGGCTTTAGTATATTAAACAAGATTTTAGTCGAGTATCCCCCTTGATTTCTTAACAGGTATTATGGCTATTTTGGTTTAGGTTAGGCTTTTATGTTTGTTTTAGACATACTTGGAGCATTTAGTACAAACTAGGGAGATAATATTTGATGAAAAGCAGAAATTTAATTGCTTTTCTTTCTTTGGCAGTATTACGAAATGTCCTATGGGTTGAATATAGAAATGCACAAGCAGGTAAGTTATTATTTTTTTATAACCATTTTACAGTTTGAAAAGAAAATTACATGTTTTACAGTTTTCTTCTGCACATTGTTGTGGCTACCTCTATTTCAAAGACTTAAGTATTGGAGAGGGCACTAATTTTTCACTGGTGATTCCTCACTTTCCACTCGTATTATCTTCAATTTAATAATTTAAAATGTTATTTAAAAACATTTGAATGCATATTAACACTTTTATACTTTCAAAAAAAGCTGGGTACTAAATTTTAAAATAAATCTTGTTTTTCTTTTGTAGGAGTTGCTTTGTGTACTTTGGACATTACAAACTTGTTTTGTGAAAGGGCTTTTCTTAGAAAGTCTTAAAAATTGCGCACATGTATGGCTTTTGTTGGCTCAGTGTAAAAGAATGGATAGAGAGTGAGCTGGGAGGATCAAAATGAAATCTGTGAGCTACAAAAGAAATTGATGTAAAATCCATATACAGGTCTCAGGCTCCTTAGTTTGGTCCTACATGAACTGTAGCCGTTGTTACTTACAAAATTTGTACAGAGCAGATGAGCCTGATAGGAAGATGTGATAAGACTCAACACTGGGGCTTGAAATAGAGCAATTAATTCAGGAAAAAAAAAAAAAAAAAAAAAGACAGAAAAGATCATGATTAGTCAGAAAGCACTGAGAGGCATGATTCAAACAGGCTTTTTTTTGTCTTCAAGAGACCACATGAAGTGATCTGGCTTAAGTTTCCTAGACAGAAAGAATATATAGATATATATATGAGGCATAAATATAAAATATTAACTTGGCAATACTAATTCCTATTGGAAGCATTTATTTTTAATGATCTCTTAGAAGTGCTTCAGGACTCCTCAACCATTTCATAATAGGTGTATATGTGCTTGCCTGCTGAGAAAAAGGCAAGGGAAATCTTCATGATTTTCACGTCTTATTTGGGACCAAGATGGATGTTACTATCTTACAAATTTAGAAAATATGAAATAATCGCATATTATTAGACTTGTACTATTTATGGGTTGCTTTTTGCATAGAATTATTCACCACTTGCTCATAACATGCCTACATGCGTAATTGACCTTTGAAAGATGCCTGTTAGACAATAAAGGCATGTATATAGATAGCAAGAGAAGACAAAAAGTTGAGGGGAGAGGGGACTTCTTCCACTGAAGATTTTTTATTTCAGATACTGTTTTACTTTGTATGCTGTTGGAATATGCCCGTATAGTATAGCTTCAGTGCCATGCATTAAATTAAATTGAATGCCACATATAAAATTAAATTTTTTATTTTGGCATCCCTGCCGTTTCTGTTTAGTAATTTGTATATCTCCTGTTTAAACAAAATCTATTCAAGCTTAGCTGTACCTTATAGGAGTAAATTACATGAGAGGTATTGTCGTTAATTATCCTCATCATATATCATTTTAGGTCTGGATTTCATGTCTTTTTGCTTCCCTTGCTTGTTTGGTCCTTACTCCTGCTCCCTCCACCAAAATTAATGTTTTATCAAGATTGGATCAGATGATTAATGTCCCTTTATTTCTCCTTTTCTTTCTTCTTAGTTTCCAGATCTCCTTGTACCATCTACATTTTTGTGCATGACATGTAGCTTGTATTTGGTTGTATGTTTTTCATGTGGAAGTACAGTGTGGGGGCATGTGAGATTCCTTAATTTTACACATTTTACATCTCTATAATTCTGTCATCTTGTCCAGCTGGCCTCAAATGCCATCCATTTAAAATTGAGAAGAGTACATTTTCCCTTTTTTTCTCTTGCTTTTAAATTCAATCATATTGAAAATCCTGAGGGCAGTTTATCACATTATGAAATACAGACAGCCCTGCAAACCACCTACTTATTATATTTTCTTTCTTTCTGCCCCTTAAGCAGAGAGGCATATCTGTCTTTATTTGTTTTCCTAGGCAGACAGCCTTAGTTCCTCTGAGCTTCTCTCCAGATGCACTGGCTGGATACCCTTGTAATGGAAAGCAGCAATAATGCAGGGAAGTCGCCCTGCAGCGTAATTGGGCCTAGTTCTCGAGATCGGGTTAGGCTTATTCACTATTAGATTTGTGTCTTGAAGGGTTCAAGAGTAGGAGTCCCAGGAGTCCTTGGAAGTACACTAGTAATTAGTGGCCCTGATATTTGAAACCTTTGTGTATTTTTGCGTTAACATTCCTGTTCTTCTTGGATGAAGCCAGCTACAGAGAATTTATTTGTAGAGAAATTTCTCATTGGAACCAAAAATGATGGTTGTGATGGAGTCATGACTCTGTGACTTAGCAAACTGATAAAAGGATGAAAGTGTGAAGCAGTGACAGAGAAGGTCGTGTTCTCCCCCGCCCCCCCCATTCCTGTGATGCACCGGTCACCCTGTGTTGATTCTGATAGAGAACTATAAAGTGAAACCTGTGGGGAATTTGTCATTCTGAAATGAAAGCTAATGTAATTAGTACCAATTAAAGTACATTTAGTAAATTGGATTTAATCTTAATTAAGCCTGCATAATGTTGCCAATTTTTAACAATTATGTTTGAGAACATAATTAATTTAAATTTTGGTAACTGAGTAAATAGCATTAGTCTGGTAGAATTAGTGGGGTTTTTTAAAAAGGGGAACTTATGACATGACTTGGGACTACAGCATAGAGGATGGACCTAATTTCTAGTAATCTTTAGTGGAAGTGATAGAGCTGAGCAGGTGAAGCTCGGAAAAAGCCCCAGAGAAGTCAGGGTGTGGAGTACTCTACGATAGGGGTTAATACCTGGCCGCTGTCTTGAGGTCTAGTGTGAAACTGAAGGTGATGATCAGGACTTAGTTAAAAATGGTATGTGTCTCATTGAGATGTCTTCAAAATGGAATTTTTTAAAATGAAAGAACATTTTTCTTTATTCCCCTGGGATTTTCCCTAAGTACTCTACAAGGTTTTGTTTTTTTGTTTCCTGATGGGACAGTTAGCCCAGGGTTTAGTTGTTAAGTTCTTTTGCTGAGCGTTCTTTATAAATAGAGTGTGCCTTCCAAATGGGTCAGGGACCGTGGGCAGATGGGGTAAGGCGTGCATTGATAGCATTACTAACCACCACCTCTGCCTAGGCTGCCTAAAGACTTTCTGCCTGGTGGGAACCTCCCTTTAGCTGAGAGCACCACTCTAAGAAATGAATGTCAGATATGGATTAGAGTGGTGTGGATTCAACCTATAGAAACTAAATGGAAGGCCATAGTATATGTTGAAAAGCAGAGCACAAGAATGTTTCCTGATTCCCGTATAGGTAATATTCTGTATTGTGAATGTCTCTTTGCTTCCTAATTTTTTTGCTTAGTGCTTAAATTTTAGAGATCATTGAAAAATTTTAACAGGTAGACTCCATGAAGTGTACTACACACTTATATATAAATATTTGTGTATTGTATGTGTTCATATATATGTGTGGTTTTTTTTATAAAATAAGGCGAGAAAACTCCTGTTTCACTTGAAGCCATGTAAATTTTATTATGAGACTTGGGCCACAACCGTTTGAGTGCTGCTAAAATATTAATTGAATAGAAATGAAAGGGCCTTGCCAAGTGATAGGATATCATAATCATAGCCTCTTTGGTCGATAGTAAATGATGATAAATGACATTAGGAACCTTTTAGCAAACTGTAATAACTACAAGGAGGGAAGCAATATGGATTTGCATTATATCTGATACCCTCCAGTACCAAGTGGATTGCCAATACTGCTTGTTTAGCATTTTCTAAGGGCAATAGGATATTGATTTCTGACTTACAAGGAACAGCTCTATTTTCACCATTGAAAAGTATTGCAGGTTGTTAAGAAGAAATTGACTTGAAGAGGCCGACTGCTGCCCATCATGGAGCAAATAAAGCAAAACTGCCGAAGCATGGTGGAGCAGCGAGACGGGCCCTCAGCAATTTGTTGCTATTAATTTACCATGCTCGACAGCAAATCAATCGGCATCTACTTCATCTGCTGCAGAAAATGCTGTCCAGGGCAGATAAAAGGCTCGGCATGGTACAGAGAATAGACTGGATTGGCCAAAAGGAGGCTGCAGTTAATGTGTAAATAAGTGAAATCAAGGCCCTCCTTGCAGGGGAAGCTGTTGTTAATTAGGTTGGTGTTTTTTAGTGAACTATGTTAGAAAGCAGGCTAGGGTTTGGAGACGAAGTAGTTTATCGGGGTTGAAGTGTGATATATGACTAGCATGACATTCCAGCCTCAGTGTAATGCAGTAAATTTATTTGGGGAAAGTACTTGGAGTGGAAGTCAGTTCCTTTAAAGTTGTGTTTAAACTGAATTTCACTTGAGGTAATTTTTCTGGCAGGGAGCATTACCAGAATCTTACACATCTTCCGTCATAGATTGCATACTCTTAGATTTGGAAGAGTCCATAGAGAAGCAGGCAGAAATGGGTTTTTTACATGGTGCTTGCTGCTTTTTTCAAAAATGGGTGAGATTAAACTCTCATGAACTAATGAAAGGGAACCATCATCAGAGGTGGGGTGTTCTACCTAATAAACTAATAAACCGATGAAAATGTTGAAATGACTCTTTGCTTTATAAACACTAGGAAATCATCTAGAGGAGCTAAACAATGAGTGGATACTACTGGACTGGAATATGTCAGAGACTTACAACTTTTGATGACTGCGTAAATTCTAGATGTAGTTAGGACCTGTGTATCTGGCAGGTTCTTGTGTTTCTGCTTTTTATTAAGGTTTAAAGCGCCTTTTTCTAACTTCAGATTACTTTTTCTCTGGTAATATTTCACAATTAATATTAGCCAATGGTGGTTATTGATGGTTTTTTTTAACCCCTTTTATTTGGATATTTTGCAACAGGAGGCCAGTTGTATGTAGACTGTAAATAATACTGTTTCCAAAACTGACAGAGGCACTTGAATTGGAGCACTTAATACTAGGCAAGACCTAGGGAACTGTCTTGCTTGTTTACAGTTCTACAAAGAAGCAGACTGGGAAGAAGCAATTTAACCCAT